TTTCAGAGTTTACGTTATTCTTGCTACTAATTGCACAATTTCATCGAACTGGTTATAAATTAAACGACTCTCATAGTTTTTGGCTGAGTTCAAACTGTACTAAAAAGTATTGTACTGTACCCATATCACCTGACAAAGCCAAGTTTCAGGTCCAAATCGTTTGTGAGAAAGGTTGTTGCCAACCTAACAAACACAACTTAGCTTAAAGAAAGGCTAAGAAAAGTGCAACATTTAAATTTGAAAATAAAATGTAAAATGATTACAATGAAATGTGAAAACGCATTGCATTCTACTTAGTCTTGAGGTACAAATTGTTCGTGTTTCTTCCGAAAAGAGAAGAATCTATCGCACAAGTAGGCAGAATCAATGACTCAACTCAAGGGGCTCACGAGGCACGCGTGCACACACACACACACACACACACACACACACACACACACACATCACTTTCTCCGGTCTGACCCCTGCGCTGACCCGGCCGCTAATCACATTACGTAAAGAGGCTCGCTCCGCTTATCACTCCGCCATCGCCTGGAGGCCCCAGCCATGCGCGCGGGTCGCGCCGCCGGAGGAGAAGAATTAGGCAAAACGATGCGACGATAGAGTCAGCAGGTAAGCGGCAGCGCAGGTTTTATTACATGCTGACCGGTTAGTGTGTGTTTTTTTTTTATTTCTTATTTTATTTCCTCGTTTTCATGGAAGAAAGTGCTTTCCGCCACACGCTTCGAGTCAAAAGGTCACAGACGCGCACATTATCACACACAACGTTATTATAGAAGTCGGGGGTCCTCGACGGGGCGGGGCGGCGGACCACACAGCCGGAGCCGGTAGCAGCAAAACTAAACCTCTGAACTAATAGATAGAGTGATCAGAGGGGGAAATAATATACTACTTTTCACGTCATAATATAGTTTGAAACACACTGCTGACTGCAAGCATTTGTTATACCGTCGGTAATTATTTTAGTTTTTATGACAAAGTCCCCTACTTAAAACTGACCGTATGACACGATCAAGCACCTCTCTCCCTCCCTCTCTCCCAACCTCTCTCTCTCTCTTCCTTGTGCTCGCGTGGGTCTTTACTGCTGGTGTTTAAAAGCGAGACATGTTTGTGACATTAAAAGAGCCCGGCGTAGGTGTGTGTCAGGAGCGAGCATTCACGGAAGAGAGAGAGAGAGAGAGAGAGAGAGAGAGAGAGAGAGAGAGAGAGAGAGAGAGAGAGAGAGAGAGAGAGACAGGGAGAGAGGAGGGACGAGGGCTCTGCTCAGTCCAAGAAAATGATAATTACATCGCAAAGATTTGCCTTCATATTGCAATCGAATGCACGCGGGAAGCCCCTCGCGACACGCGGAGGGAGAGAAAGAGAGGGAGAGAGAGAAAGAGATCGCCTCCTGCTAGCTGCATGGGTGGGCTTAGCGCATGACTAGACGGCCGTATCCTTACGCCTTACAGCCAGCCGGTCTAATAACAAGGACGAAGCGATGCGCGGCGCAAGTTCCTTATGACAGCATCCTGGCGGGCGGGAGGGGGGGGGGGGGGGCACCCTAGGGACACTGGCCCCGCGACACACACACACGCACACACACACACACACACACACACACACTCGCGAGTTAGCTCAAGTGAAACCGCCACTATACCTCGCTGCAGCTGCAAGGAAGAGAGGAGGGGAGGCGGCGACTCCTCCGAGAGTCCGAGTCCCCCCGCGTGAGGCTATTTCCGTTTTTCATTTCACACCCCTGCAGGGGCTTTGCTCGCGCAGTGCGCTGCCGCGGTGGCCTCCCCTGGTCATGACGACGGTCACCCTCCGCCGTCGCGACAACGCGGTGCAACAGGGTAAAAAGAATGTCTCCTTTTTTGAGGGCAAAGGGAAAACTTTGAGGAACTCCCCTGGTTTGACAAAATCTCCCCAGATTAAGAGGAAGTCTCCTCAAAGAATGTAGAATTTCCCCTCATTTTTTGATAAAATTAAAAAAAAACCTGAGGCAACTTTTCCTAAAACATGGGAGTTCCTCAAAGTTTTCCATTATTCCTTTAAAAAATCACACATACTTTTTACAGTGTACAGACGTGCCTCGCGTACCGAGGCACATAATTTCGTCGGATCTATATGTGTTCGGGATCGTCCGGACAGTGCGCCCCTTGTGGTCCCTTTTCTGAGATTTATGCGAGGGAAAATTGCGGGAGCTCGGCGCCTGCGAGGCTCGGGGTAGGCCACCCCGCAGGACACGCATGCGCTGCAGGCGAGATGTTGCCTATCCATTAGGCGCTCTATGAGAGCGTCGAGGGGCAGAACTTGGCAGGATCCTAGCGGCGAATGACGGACTTAATTTCTGAGTGATGATTCCATGCTACCTCTGCGCAGGTCAGATCAACTACTTTGTTTATTTATCTTTTTGTAACCTATACAAAGAAATCTTTCTTATGTACTGTACACACATAGCTATGTAAATCCCTGTGCATACATAATTTACGTGGAAAAATAGTGTATAACAACAATGTAAAAACATTCTCCATTTACACAAAGAATCGGTGTGTTGACCTTACACCGCATGGCAGAAAAATAATAGTCAATCAAGATCGTAGACTTGTGCCTCTGCTGGTGCCGGGCCGGGGCTAGTGCCCACTTTGTCACACTGCTCTTTGTGGTCAGCGCCCGACCTCCCTGCCCCTCCAATCCCTTTCTGCTACGGTCATTGCCACCGCCTGAACCTCAACCCCTAGCTGGGCCCCTGGCCGACCCCCCCTCCCCGTCCCGGACGGAGGTAGTTGGAGCCCCCCCTCCCTCTCTCTCTTTCACACACACACACACACACACACGCACCTCCAGACCAACGGCCGAAAGCCATTGGTTCCACGCAGCCGCCAAAGCCTATCTGCGCAGTATTTTCAGTATACAGGTCCCTCCCCCGGACAGAAGGGCCCAACACGCGCGCGCGCACACACACAAAAACACACACACACACGCGGAGAGGCGAGGGGCGAGCGGGTGGATGTCCCGACTCGTGGAATGTCACCCGCAGCAGGTCGTGCGCGAAAAGTGTTTATCAGCCACGATTGCAAAGTGCCACTCTGACGCAAACATTGGGGGAAAAATGTGGACACAACAAATACGCATTTCTTTGCCTATGATGGGAGCAAGTGATTGAGTGATTTCACTATTACAGTTCTTCTTGGAGAACAGCCATTTGCTTTTTGTTTCACGAAAATTAAAATAACGATACTGCAGCATCACTTTGGTGTAAATACTTTGGAAAAACTGCATAGATTTTTTTTCCAGTTTCCTTGTTGTACGCCGTGTTGGAATGTCACACACTTTGCAGAGCGCGTACCCGCAGACGCACACCCATGGGACGCACAAACACACGGATCAGGTAAGTACTACACCCCCTTGGCACAAGCGTCCCGACGCCGTGCCGCGTGAGTGTGTGTGCGTGCATGTGCGTTGCGTTGTCCGATGGCATCGAGCATTTTACTTTTACGACTGGCTGCTCAGATAACCAGCCAGGGCCCCTAACCATATGGCACCGGGACGAGATTTACCGGGGCGCCGACGAGAAGCTGTATGGGACACTGTGTGTAAGAGAAAGAGAGAGAGATAGGGGGGGGGGGGACTGAGAGAAAAGGAGACACGGAGTATAACGGCTATTATTTACTTTGAGTAGACTTCTTTTACTTTTGTATCTGTCCCAAAATATTCACCACGCTCATCTTAAAATGGTTATGCTTAAACAATTTTATTTTTTAAAATAATAAAATATCCTTTTTACAACGTATTCCGTGCTTTGTTTAGTGTCGTACCCGCAGATGTGCACTGCGTCACTCGACATATTACTCACTTCAGAGGAAATACTCTCCTCCAATGAGAGCGAGAAAGAGGGTAGAAAGAGGGGGGAAAAGAGGAGGGGAGAGAGAGAGAGCGTGGCGAGACAAACGGTCTCCAAAGGCGCATCGCTCCGCTCTCCGACGCATTAGATTTGCATTCTCCGCGCCACCTGCCGGCGCGAAGGCCTCTTTTGAATTTCCCGCCTGCATCGCCCTAGCACAGCTTCATTTTTATTTGCTTTCTTATTATTTCCTCCATGGAGGGTGTGCACACCCGATGGACGGTAATGGAATCGTTAACAAACGGCATATAGAGACTTCAGTCCAACGTGAAAAACATTGTATTTTTATTTTTCTATATTTTGGTACAGCTTTATGTGAAACTGCCAACTGCTTGAATATAACTCTTCAATGAAGTAGAGTGTGTGTAAAAATTCAGGATAGTAGTTTATCAAAAGGAGAAATGAACGGGTATGAATACAGAAAAAAAATTGCCAGTGTGCCCATTACACGCCATTACCGCTGTCGCCTGTAATGGCTTCTGCGGTCATCGTGTGATTTATCATCGCCATTTTATTGATTGGCGCCGTGGCTCATTGGCCCCGCAGCCTGTCGTCACACTCTGCCGGCCGGCCAGAGCTGCGCCTGAAAAGTTCATCATGATGGGCACCGCAATTGTAGGTTTTACCCTTTCAGCTTTATATCGGATATATATAGGGTCGTTCAAATAATACTACGTGACTTGTAAGGAGGGTACAAATATTATGGGGTCCCAAAATGATCACGAACATCATTGTAGTACATAGAGACCCCTTGATATTCGTACCCGCGGGATAAAAATATAATGGTATCCTACTGCCCTCTATCATGGTCCTGATCCTTTACAGGCCCAATAATATTTGTACCCCCCTATTAATGCACATAGTATTGAAACGACCCCTATCTTTTCCTTGTCGTGATAAGCCCGCGCGCGCCGCACTGCGCTGCACCCCGTCCGTGTTTTAGTGTTATAGCCCTGGGGGTGACAATGCGCCCTCCCAAAGGGGGTTAATGACCCTTAAAGGGCGACAGACTAATCTCCACAGCAGTTCGAATCGTGTCCTTCCGGTGGCGCCAAAGAAGGGGGTGCGTCCATATCGATTGGCGCGGGAGTAAATGACTCGAGACAAAAGCGGATTTATATTTGTTTGAGGAAACGTTTCTTTATTGTGTATAGTGATTAGTTTTCACAGTACTCATATAAAGCAAAAGGGAAGAGATAGAGAGGAAAGTTAAGACATCGATACAAAAACTAGTACGTCCAACGTTTGGTTTAAAATAATACTGGGTACACCGAAAGAGAAATCACATGATAAAGACAAAAAAAAAAAAAATCCTCTTCACTTGTAAGTTATTTGCGATAACAAACACACAAGAAACGTACAACAGAAAATAAATTCATAACCGGCTGCAAGTTACAGGGAAGAGAACACTCTTTAGAAGCTTTTGTTAAACTTGGCTTAGACAATATTCACAAAAGCCATTTCATCAACAAGATGTTACAGCTATAAACGAAAAAAAACGAGGACGGTAAGACAAATATTAGCTGCCACAAACGTTACGCTACGGTGGGGAAAGAAGGTAACAGCTTTGGGATTTCCCAGAACACTTAGTAACGCCGCCTTCCAACATTTCACATTCATACAAATTCTCTATAAAAATACTTATATACACAACACGATTATGAACATAATTTAAACAACTGTGAGGCGCACAGTGCGCTTCACAATAATAGCACTCTCAAATGGCCTTAGGTGCTCGAGCACACCATCAGATAAATAAGCAAAAAAAGACGAGTTTTTTTCAACAGTTAAAATTTTTTAACATTTCATCAACTAACAGGAAAACGTCAATTTTCACAAATTAAAAATAGTCACAGAGCGATAAAGCTGCCGTAAGTCTCACTTTGTACTAAAAGTACAGGAATGGGAGTTGGCACATAACATAGTATTACCGAGCACAGTTGCCAAATCTGGAAGCTGGGCGCGGTAGCATAGGTTCCATGCCAACTCACAACTCCCATCCGAGAGCTCCCCTTCCACGCATTCATTCGACTAGAGCGTATTTACAAACGGATATTTAAATACAACAGTTCCAACAAAATACATTTGCTTCGTCATCAGCTAGTCGTCCACGCGTAACAGAACAGGCGTTCCGAGAATCGCGGCATGCTGTCGGAGACGAACTAGCAAACTGACTGTCGTAATCTACACGTATGAATTAACATATCACATAAGTTGACGCGGCGATTGCATACTAAAGGCATTTCAAGAGGTTTCGGCAAAATTAATACACAACGGCGAAGTGTTCCACAATACGTGGCGAAGTCTTTGGGTGGCTTCTCGCCATTAAACAGCGCAAAAAAGGCAAGAACGATTTTCATTGATGAAAATAACACAAAAGTTTGATCAAGTATAACAGCGACGGCTGTGCTGCTAACAAATATCAGTCGGCGGCTCTAACAGTACGACGCAAGAAGACAGAGCAAAAAGTTACAGGAAATCAGTCTTAACTTTGCAATCTGTCGTATAATGAAGTAAATCGGCAGTGTCATTCAAAGTAAAAGAAAAACGACCTTTGATCCAATCGCCATAGACGTAAAGCTAACAGTATCTTTACATAATTTTACAATAGATACCAATATACATATGTACACTTCCGCACAGTGCGCGCACTTTTTGAAATAAAAAAAATACTAACGAAAAACTTAGTAGCGTCAGTTCTGGTAATTGGAACATGCTAAAGGTCATGGCAAAAATCCATTCCAGGCAGTGCATACGTATTCAGCGATTCCGTACAGGTATTTCGTTAAAAACCAATATAAAACGGGGTTAATTAAAAAAATTCAGCGATATGAAAACACTTTGATGCATAACCGTGAAAACAGACAAGTGCGGATCGCCATCTTCAGAGGGTGATACCTAGCACATTATATAACCGGGGTCGCATTATTACAGTCATCACAGTTTCTGTTGTTGTTTTTTTAAACGAATTAAAACAATTTTCTATACACTAAGAAAAAACCTAACACTCACGTCACACGTAGGCCTCCACCCGGCGCCCGCGCAGCCTGAGGCAAAACTCCCGCCAGCTGCCTATCGTCTTGCCGGACCAGATCCAAAAGCTGGACGTGATGCCCACGATCAGGGCCATGAGGTACTTGATCATAAACACCTCAAACTCGGGCTTGCGCGGGTCGGCGGGGCCCGGCGGGCAAGGGAGCGCGTACTGCTTGTTGGTGCACATCTCGCGGCTCCACGACACCATCCAGTGGTCGAAGTACGACTGCTCGTAGAAGAGGCAGGCCAGGACGATGAGCGCCGGCACGACGTACAGCACCGAGAACACGCCGATGCGGATCATGAGCTTCTCCAGCTTGTCCGTCTTGGTGCCGTCGTGCTTCATGACGGTCCGGATGCGGAACAGCGAGAAGAAGCCCGCGACGAGGAAGGCCGTGCCCAGCACCAGGAACACGGCGAGCGGCAGCAGCACGAAGCCCCGCAGCGCCGTCATGTCCCACAGCCCCACGAAGCACACGCCGCTCAGCACGTCCCCTGCAACAAACAAAAAAGGACAGTTTAGCGCGACATTCCAGGGCATTTCCAGGGACAGAGAGCATCCAGAAAAAAAATCGCTCGCGCAAAACGTTTTCTTTTTCTCTTTTTTGCACATTAACATCTAATTTGGCCCAAATCAAAAATTCAATATCGACATTTCCAAAAATAAGCAGCAGAAATCTTTGAAACAAGCTGTGAGCTCACTTTCGACCACGTTTCGTTTTACTTTCATTTAACTCGTGGGGGTGTCGTGGGTATAGGGTTCGAGCGAGGCGAGCAGTCGTCATCGATCAGGCACAACAAAAATAATAAAAATAATAATAATAAAATACAACACAATTCCTCCCTCGGGGCCGGACACCAGTGTCCCCCTTGGCACCGCGCCACGCCGCGCCACGCCGCGCCACGCCGTCACGGCAGCAGATTCCTTTGCCCAGCTCCTAGAGGTAGCAGCAGCGCAGAGGCGGGACGAGGGAGCGGTAAGGGGGTACAGGAGGTCCCCTTTGCTTCCCCTCTCTCTCTCTCTCTCTCTCTCTCGCCGGCGCATAAGTCGTGGCATAGCTTGGCGTGGCACAGTGCAACGACATGAGGGGGGCCCCAACCCAAGCAGCAGCAGCAGCAGGAGGGCGAAGGGGGAGGAGAAGGAGGGCCCCGGCGGGGCGCAAGGAGGAGCAGGACGTGTGTTCGGAGAAGCAAAGCCCCCCGATAGGATCGCCCCCGGCGCGGCGGCAGCGCGGCGGGGCAGCTCTGGGGGCCCCGTCCGCAGCAGCAGCACAAGGGGCGCACCAGCGGCACCTTGTGGGGCTCATCCCCGACGCTCTGCCGATGCAGACCAGACCAAAGAGAGAGGGGAGGGGAGAGGAGACAAGAGGGCGGGGGGGG